TGTGAATCTATTGAAAAAATCGACTGCAAGTGTCACAGAAAATGTGATGATAAGAGGGACAGCGGACCCGTCACAATCCCTATTTTGAGAAAATACACTCTTTCGCAGCAAAAATCTTTTTTCTTATCGAAAAACAGTGTAGAATGAAAATGAATTCTGTATCTTATACTTTTAAAAAGTGACAAGTGTACTTTTCAGCTTCTTAAAAAGTCACTTTGGCACATCTAACCACGGTTTTTTTCTTGGGTATATTCTTTCAAGTGCCCCTAATATGTACTGTTTCGTCCAAAATGTAAAGGTAACGAGGAACCTCCCCACCTGTTCCCTTGCCATTTCCATGATTTTCTGTCTTTAGATACTGCATAGTGTGGTAATAAAAATCCTAAAAGAATTTCGATTCCTATTGAGATTTAGCAAAGCTATTAGATTTTTAATATATCTAATTATTTAGGACCCTAGGTCTCGGGAAAAGTTGTATTTTCGAATTTTCATCTGAAACTTTATCCATTTAGAGATCTCCAGTAGACTAGCTTCCATAAAAAAAAATGCAGAAGTTTTTGAACAGAGCTACTTCCAGATACATGACTTCCAAAAAATGTATATTATATATTCTATTTATGGAAAAGACCTTATATCCAGAAAATTTAACATCTTGGAGAGACTTTGTTCACAATTTCTGAATGTTTTTTATAGAAGCTAGTCTACTTGAGATATCTATATGCATAACATTTCAGACCAAAATTCAAAAATACAACTTTTCCTAAGACCTAGGGTCCGAAATAATTAGACATTAAAAATCCAATAGCTTTGCTAAATCTCAATAGGAACCGAAAGCTTTTAAGGGCTTTCGCTAGCACACTATGTAGTATCTATAGGCAAAAACTCATTCAAATTGGAAGAGAGCACCCAATAGAGCCCGTCGGGTAGGACCCGGACCCGGACCCTACCCGGACCCGCACGGGTCCGGGTCCAAAAATTTTACTTTGGCCGGGTCCGGGTCCGGGTCCAAAAATTTTATTTTGACCGGGTCCGGGTCCGGGTCTGAAAATTTTGCTTTAACCGGATCCAGGTCTGAAGAAAACTTTGATCCATACAATTTATTTTGAATTTTTTTAAAGTTTTGTTCGTTTTATACAAAGAAGAGATCAAATGTATTTAGAAAATAGATAAAAAACAACAAAACCCTTCTTGACTATACTATCTAAACTGACTTGTCATTGTGTTTGGATCCAAAAAACTTAAGCGACCGGGTCCGGGTCCGGGTCCAGCAACCTGTAAACGGGTCCGGGTCCGGATCCGGGTAGAAAAATTTTAAATGATCGGGTCCGGGTCCGGGTCCAAAATCCTGGGCCAGGGTCCGGGTCCAAAAATTCTGGACCCGACGGGCTCTAGCACCCAAGGAGGTTCTCTCGTAAGCAATATCTTTGACATTGTTCTTTTTCTAAAGCAGATCTCTCGACTCCTAACGGAGGAACTATATGATTCACCGACACTCCAAGCAAGCTACTCGTTAACGCATCGTCGAAACTGAAACTAAAGAAAAATATACTTCTTTTTGCAGTAGAATCGTTTTTAAAGTAAGGCTGTTTTCTCAAAAGACACTTTTTTGACTGTTTCTCACCGACCACAACTCTGTTTCAAAAGAAAATGAGGTACCCCAATGGTGTACCTCATTTTAAAAATATTTGTACCCCAACTGTACCCCATTTGAAAATTAGGAGTTGGCAGCCCTGATGGATAAGCGAAGTTGAATATATAGATACGAAAGGAAAGGAAAAGACGACAGAACGAAAAAAAATATTTAGAGAGATATAGACAGAACGAAAAGAATAGCTGTTTTCACTGAGAAATCGTATTTTAAAAATTTTTGCTGGGGACTTGAGAATACCCATTCGAGATAATTACGGACTCTTGCTCAACTTTTTACGCTCTTTCCAACGATATAATTTTTATGGGGTCGGCACGAAATAAAATTTTTTGACCCAATTGATATGAATATTCTAAACTCAATTTTTTTTCTATGATAATTTAGAGTTTTCCTTGGATATTAAATGAAGGTGAAATAAATCCAAGTACTACAATTATTTTTACTGATTATGATGATCCAGCACAAAGTAATACAATACCATTTCGTGTTGAAATTTTAAGTCCATCAAATTTTACATTATCTGGTCCAACATAAAATTATGTTGGACGATATCAATTAACATATAATGGTATATTAAATCGTACAATAACAAAAAATCTAACTGTACAATTTAATGCAAGTGATAATAAAGGTTATTCATTAATAACAACAATATCAATTATTGTTGATGATATATTAAATACATATCCAATATCAGATGGTTTTAAAACAATAAATGTACCTTATGTTAATGGTTATATGAATTCATTACGAAATGTTTCACTTGGTTCAATATATGTTAATGATTTAGCTGATTGATTTTGTACAAGTCGAACATATTTCATTCGTGATGTCAGTACTGGCCAATTATTTAGTGCTTCACAAGGTTTTTTAACTACACCTGACGCACTTTATCCAGGTTCATATACAATACATGTTGATGTAACGAAACCTATAGCATCATCAACAGATTTAAGTACAATTGATCTTTCAGTTAGAAGTATTTATGGTGAATTTGTTCGACAAGCAGCAACAATTCGTGTTCAAGGTAATGATTTATATATATATAAAAGAATAGGTCGGAATCCAAGAAACTAAAACAAAAACTTGCTCCCATACATCTCTACTATCCTTTTCAAAATAGAAGGCGAGTGATTGTGAATCGAATAACTCGAGAACGGAAACAGCTATGGCGCTGCAGTTTTCACCATTAAAAAGCGGACACTGGGACACGTAAACATATGAAAAAATTTCATTGGTCAGTAATGGATCAACAGGATGAAAGACAGCTTTTGGAATGCTTTTTTCGTTGAATTTTGAACTTCAATTAAATCATTCGAGAGAAAAAATTCTTCTCTTTCGATCTACACAAGGCCGAGATCGATAGTTTGCTCCATTCGGTACCTATAAGCATTTTTCTGAGAGTCCCGAAATCGGCCAGGTGATTGCGGAACCACTCTTAAACGCATTACATTATAGGCAATCGACTACGCTGAATTCAATGGTGATGCTTGATTTTCATTTCAAAGTAATCTGAAATTATTAAAATAGTTTTTGCTGCTATTTGACTTAAAGAATACATATATTGAAAATCTCGATACAGTGATCTCAAATTACTTTGAAATGGAAAATAAACATCACCACTGAATTCAGCGTAATCGACTATTTATAATGTAATGGTTTTAAGAGTGATTCCGCAATCACCTGGCCAATTTCTGGACTCTCAGAAAAATGCTTATAGCTACTGAATGTAGCAAGCTATCGATCTCGGCCTTGTGGAGATCGAAAGAGAAGAATTTTTTTCTCTCGAATGATTTAATTGAAGTTCAAAATTCAACGAAAACAGCGTTCCAAAAGCTGTCTTTCATCCTATTGATCCATTACTGACCAATGAAATTTTTCCATAGATACACATGTTCCGGCGTGAATCCCACAGCTCCATAGCTGCTTCTTTTCCCGAGTTCTTCGACTCGCAATCACTCGCCTTCTATTTTAAAATGGACAGTAATACACATCGGTATACCGATCAATCTAGTCCGATGACCGGCACCGGTCGTCAAAAATCTATCAAACACTTGCATTTAATTTTTCAATATTATTTTTAGGTGAATATTCTGAAACATTAATTGATCCATCAATTGGTAATCGTCTTAGTACACTTCGCAATGCACTCGCATCATTTTTACTTGTTACTACTGATTCAATTATTATACTTGCTATACGTCCAGTTTATCAATATCGTAGTCTATATTGTCCACCATTACCATTTAATCAAGCGAAAAAACGAGCATTAACTGATGTTATTTTTTATGTAGCATCATTAAAAAAAATGATATTGAAAATACATTAAATGTAAATCTTCCATTATTTTCATCACGTTATGATATAATAGCAAATGCAAGTGGACCAAATCCATGTACAAATTATGTTTGTCCAATACGTAAAAATGAAAATTTTCGTTTTTTTTTCATATTATGATTTGATTTATTTATTTTAGATACAATTTGTCGACCAACACGTACTATTCAACCATTATCTTATTCAATTGATACAAATCAAACATCATTTGTTGGTATAAATGTTGTTGATTCAGCTGATTGTGTTAATTCAATATATTTAATTAATTTTAGAAATACACCATGTAGATGTATTACATATCCATTTAATAATTTAACATATTGTCCATGTATATCATTACAAACATATGCACCACTTGGACCATATTGTCAAGTACTTGGTAGAACATTTAATGAAAATGGTGGTGGTTATGCTGTATTTGATGGAGAATTTTTTTTCAATTCGTGCACCAACACGTTTTTCATTTGATTTTGCTACACGACCGCCAATAATTGATGGTTTACTTTTATTATATGGACGTAATACAACACCAATAAATGATTTTTTTGGACAGCAATTGAAATTTGTCAATCAAGATTAAGATTTCATTTTCGAGCTACAATACTGGATGCAACAAGTACAACTCTAAATGCGTTAACATGGTATCATATTGAATATCAAGTCAGTGTTTTTTTTTCATTTTTTGAAAATTTAATCTGAAAGGTTTTGTTTTAGTATGTTGATTCAATAATTCTTGTTTCAATAAATGATTGTCAATATGTAACAACAGTTAATGATACATTAAATACATATGATTTATCAAGTGTTCAATAATACCTCGGTGGTTTACCAGTAACTAATTCATTAATTTCTGGTCTTTATCC